TAGTATTATTGGGTAATTGTCTGTCTTAGAAACAGGTGTCATGATGACGTGGGGAGTTGCTGCCTATGGAAGTGTATGTGTTACAAAAATAATATTATTATGCAGTAGCAGAAATGATATTTCATTTTCATATTACCACTGCCAAATTTGACTCATAAATAAAAGTCATAAGCAATAAGTTCTTCCAGACCTCCAAGGCTTTATTATTCTGAAGTTTGTTTGCTAGGGAATTTTCCCGCATTGTTTGCTCATTCCTTTTATTGTAGCAAATTGCATTCTTAAATTTAGGTTAGCAGCCCTCTTTTCTTTCCAGCATCATCCGAGACCTTGGTTTGCCATCAGCAACCCAGTCTTCATAAGGTAGTCTGGACTCAGTGTGCAATGCTGAGGCATGTTCAGTCCACCCTAGTAGCGGCTCAGATTGTGCTGTTACTTTTTAGTACAGAAATCTTCTGTGGTTATTCAAGCAGTCCACAATATTCTGGTACAGAGTGCATAGCTTCTGTCTTGTGTTCCATAAGTTTACAGTAGACATCTTTAAAGTATACAGTTTCTTTATGCATGCTAACCGTAGTCGGGCTTCCATCTGATAGTAAGTTGCAATTCCTAATACCCTTGTCTGTTACTTTAGTCCAAGTCAGCTTCTGTATAGACGCACTCTCGGGTTGGAGCAGCACCGTCAGTGTTTCACAGTTTAACTCAATGTAGACAGGGATATGATCGGTTGTTTCCTGAGGATACAAGATCTCTGCCCTGGATAAACATTCATGTGCATCTGCAGTGCATATACAGTGAGTTGGTGCAGTTACATGCACACGACCGACATCTGAGTCGATCCAAATCGATCTTATTATAATAAGCTGGTAGTCTTTATCCTAGTTTACATGCGCATTAGAAAACTATCCTCTCAAATAAAGTTTGTTCCACTCCGGTACAATAGGTGGCAGCATGCCCCTTTTCATGTCGGCATTCTTCCGGTTAGCTTATAGCAACACAAGCGGTAAAGAGGCTGGCGGGATGCAGACTTGGGTGATGGGTATTACCCACAATGCAATGCTACGGGAGAAACGGCTCATGTTCTTTTTCTGAAAATATGTATTTTCTAATAAAAGTAGTTCATTTTAGGACAATTAGTTGATGCTCTGAATGTTTTAGACAATGCAGCAATGAATGTAAATTTATTTCTAATAATTGTTTGGTTGTTTGTTTGAAAGTTGTTAATAAAGTTTTGTTTTAAGTATCACAGCGACCAGCATCCCGGCATGCTTTGATGTCAATGACGCAAATCTCCCCGTCTCAATTAGGCAATTATTTGCACACTTGTGTACTACGCACTCGAAGCCTTACAGCACACTTTCTCTTAAGTGCATTTTGCTGAAAACCACAGTGAGTATTGAGATAGGGCTTAAGTCTCTGGGCAACGCCATATTGGATGCCATGTTTCCTGCCACGGATGCCCTTGAGAACAGAGCACATTTACTGATTTGTAACTAATGGATACAAAACTTTCACTAATAATAAACATTTTGTTTTACACGTTTACGTCTTCACTCATCGCCAGTGATGATAGGGAGTCTTATGTGCTTGTTTTTTTGCTGGAGGTTGCACTCCCAGGGGTTTTTTACCCTAAAGGCCATTCGTTGGTAAGGTCTTATTCAAACACAAAAATACTGCTTGCTTGCAGTGATTTACGTATGTACTGCCTCCTGTCGCCAGGGACAATAAACATTATCACTTTAAGGATCAACAACCTGCTCATATTCATTGTTTTGAATTGAATTTAGGGCTGAACTAGGGCTGGGCGATATGACGATTTTAGACCATTTTACGATCTACACATCTGACGGTCTGTCATTTTTGAGAGACCGTTTTATCACGATTCACAGCTCTGCTGTTGAATTTCTGCCTCTGAATGAAAATGGAACTTACCCCAGGCGAATGACACGCCTTTGTTTGACCCTTAACCAATCAGAGTGAGTCATAGTAATATATTAGTGCCCCGCTTGTTTTCACTTGTGTGTGAACAAACATGGCTTCGCCGCGGCTGAGCGACACGTTCCGAAGAGGAACGCAGGGTTTCCTTAGCGCGCAGCGCTAACAACTTAGCGACGTGACATGTCTCGGAGAAAGCGTAAAAACACGTTGGACGCTTCTTCTGAAGCAGGAAAATAACATCGCTTCTTAAGCAGAGCACGACGCCGCCTCGGCTCGTTCACCCCCTGCCGAGCTGGTGTCGGTACCGGACTGAGCTCGGTCACTGGGTCGCTGGAGCTGCCCCGTGACTGCCTGATGGAAAACCAACTGGTTTCATCAGACTCGTAGTTTCTTGTTTTTGTTGGGGACCCCCTGTATTTTACCGCTCCCTCCTGCAGTCTTCCCCTATTAACATTTAAAATGATTCTGTAAACTCCGTGTATCAATAGAAACGATCTCCGCCTCTGCCAGCTGCAGTAAATGTAGTCTCCAAATAATAAGAGGTGCATTCATCTGTGTATCTCCTTTCATCCGCATTAGTGATATTCTCAGCACCAGAACAGTGAAGCAAAGAAAGAATCCTGAGTTTGTTAGTAATTTTATTTATTAGGTGCATCTAACCTGTTCTATTTATCTCTGAAATGAGATCAAATCAGTGCTTCTATGGGTTGTTTCCAATCTGCACTGGAAAATTTTACTTTATTTAGAGACTTGTTGCAGAAAATATTCAGAATGTGCAGTTATTTGCTACCACAAGCGATCTCTGGTCCAGCCGCACATCAGAGCCGTATTTGAGCTTAACTATCCACTACATGAGCAACTGGGAGCTACATAGTATTTTGAACAAGTTAATGTTTGCACAATACATTTGCAATTGATATGTTTACGATTTTAATTTATGTTAAGTTACTTGAAAAACGAGAAAAACTGATTTTTGTAATTGTTTCTCTCAGGGCTTTTATCATCTCTGGTGTGAGTTTAAAATATAAGTGTGTTAGCACTGTGCTGATTATCCCTAATATGAATAAATGTTTATTTATTCAATGTTTTTCTTCTTTAATACGCAATTGAAGTTATGCTATTCATGGATAAAAAAATCGTGATAAAATCTAAATCGTGATAAAATATTGGAAAAATCGTGATATTCTATTTTTGCCATATCGCCCAGCCCTAGGCTGAACCATTTTGAAAAATAATCTAATTGTGATTTTTTTTCTTCAATATTGCTATTGCGATTTAATTCATGATTATTTTCTCAAGGGGCTTTTCTCATTTTTTTAACTAATGGAAGCAAAAAAATATCTATGTAACTTGTACTGAATATAAACAAGTTTATGCATTTGCATATTTGTCTGCATATCATATCAACAAGTTTATTTGTCTACATAAACACTCACAAGTAAAAGAAAAAATTTGCATTTGAAGGTGCAATGCTTTGCAGCCAGGAGCGCATCCCTTGAAGGAGCATAGGTATTAGCATCAACTGTAAAAATTTATTAGCAGGAAGGAAGTGTGTCCCATTTATTTAAGTCTTTTGTGTTTAGAGTTTTTGACTTCTAGTCCATGCAGAGCTTCCATAGTTCAGTTACATCCATAGCTGCAAGCCAAAACTCTATGAAGTTGAAGTCTCTTACAGTTTTCTAGCTTTACTAAAATATCTGTCTGTGCTTATTTGATTGATAGCAGTTTTTACTTTTTATTAGACTCAAAATGTAATCATTTGGCATGTTCCTAATTCGTAAATTGTAAGAATGTAATTGGCGATATTGGCATTAGCATCCCTATGGGTTTTTCAATGTATATTAGCGTTGTGCTAACCACTCGCTGCCAGTCAAATAGCAGCCATTGTGAGTAGAAAATCTCCTTTTGTCACATCTCAATTTAATTGTATATGCAAGTAATCATTCAGCTCTAACTGAATTTGAGGAGAAATCCTGCAAATATTAACAGAAATATCCATGAAGACTAAATGATGGAAGATTCTTCTTTAGACAAGGGAAGATGATCCATGATCCCTTCAGCGGGCTTTTAAAACTCATAAAGGAACGTTTGGAACAGCTGAGGAGGATTGTTTTTGATGGGACGTCAGTTTGGCATTATTTAAAAGATTTTATTTGCAGACGATGACTCAGTGTTGGCTCTCGTAAAGTTTTTTAGTGAAATAATTCCTGGCCCAGACTCATCAGCTGCTCACATGGGGGATAAAAAAAGCTTCCCGGCTGAATTACCCAGCATGCTCTGCCAGACCTCAGTCTCCACTCTGACTAACGCTGCAATTACTTACACATGTTGACACACAAGGGAGATATTTCCAGACTCCACAGGCCCTCTTTCTTCCTGTCACTCACAGGCTCTCAGCCAATCAGGGCTCAGCGTAAGTCTGGTTCCTCTGTCTGGTGTGAGTTAGTCCGCTTCAATTGGAAGGAAAACACGATGGAACTGGGAAAGCTGAGAGACGACCGGGCAGTTCAGAGAGAGGGAGAGATAGAGAGAGAGAGAGAGAGAGAGTGTGTGTGTGTGTGTGTGTGTGTGTGTGTGTGTGTGTGTGTGTGTGTGTGTGTGTGTGTGTGTGTGTGTGTGTGTGTGTGTGTGTTTGTGTGTGTGTGTGTGTGTGTGTGTGTGTGTGTGTGTGTGTGTGTGTGTGTTTACTCTGAGGAGAGCCTTAATAAGGAAACATTTACAGAAACGTTAGTCTGGAGAAAATCACCAACCAGCACTACGAAGTACAGTTTTTACATTTTTAGTATCAGAAATAACCAGTTTAGGCTTCATACTGGTTTGAACTGTGGTGCATGTGTGTGCCCTTTGACCCCTGGCTTTATGCTCCATATATGGCACTCCTCCTCTGTGCCTCCATGCAGCCTGTCATCAGCTGATAGAGGAGGAATGTTTCACCTCCTCTGATAAATCTGACTCGACTCACTGAGCTGCAGCTGTTCCACATCAAATAAAATCACCTTTAATCTGTGGGTCTGTTTGTGTGACCAGCTGTAAATCCAGTGCTGATTCCTCATTTATCCGTGCAGCCGCGGGTCAGAACCCTGACCACGTTCTGCAGGGGGTTGGTGAGAAACCTGAGGCCCGGCGTCCCGGCGAGGACTCCACCATCGCGCCTGAAGACCTCCCCCGATTCCTCAGCTGCTACTGCTCAGGTCACTGTCCTGACGACGCCGTCAACAACACCTGCCAGTGAGTAGGCACTCCATCTGAACCCAGTTGGGCATTATGGGGTGTTCTCCACTTTACTGCTGTCATTCATAAACAGAAGCAGAACAGTTAAATCCATCATACGTGTGCGATTGGATTTGTTTTTAGCTTCACAGACAAATACAAATATCAGGAAGTTATTTCTGAGCTAAATGACTCGGGGCTGAGATGCTGTTGGTCCCCCCCCATGAAGTCTCAGATGAATCTGGTTGCTGGTTCAAAGCGGTGCATTAGTGCGTTTGTGTCTTCAGGACCAACGGTCAGTGCTTCGCCATCATCGAGGAGGACGAGAACGGAGATTCCCAGCTCACCTCCGGCTGCATGAAGTATGAAGGCTCTCACTTCCAGTGCAAGGTATGCTGATGTCACACACACTTCGGTGGGTTCACCTGCACAAACACAAGGTCAGATGCTGCTCAGACCTAAAGGAGCTTCAGATCTCTGCAGGCTGGAGCCATTTGATAGATTTTTTTGGCTGATATTTTTGCCTCTTGTTGCCTTTAATAAATGGATTCTGTTGGTTTTGAACGGTAACACGGTTCTTTAACCTTGGTTTTGAAACTGGAATAAGTGAAGATTTGCTGCAAAAAGTTTCTTGAAAATGGTTTCTGTTTAAAATGTGCTTTATATCATATTTATCTTTTTTATTTAATTTTTATTTTTTTATTTTTTTTCAGTTTTTACAATAAATCAGTAATGATAGATGGATGTCGTCTCTGGTTGACCTGAGATGTTAAAAGAGTCCACAGATGTTTATTTTCTGCTCTCTGGTTGGATGACAGGACTCTCCCAATGCTCAGACCAGGAGGACAATCGAGTGCTGTAACACAGATTTCTGTAACGGAGACCTGAGGCCCACCCTACCGCCACAGATTAGCACCGGTAACCTGTCAGCTGATCTGAGAGCAGTGATTCAGGTAAAAATACAGCTGCAGGTTTAAGTCAATTTTGCTTGTTTCTGCAGAGAATCACTCCCATTGGCTAGCCTTCCTCATCTCCATGACAATTTGCTGCTGCACTCTGGTCTGCGTCACCATCATCTTCTACTGCAGGTAAGAACTCACCTGGAAATGGGTTGAAAGCAGCTCTAGAAATGCTAAACGGCTTTTCACATCTGGGGAAGATGTTTTCCGTAGGGATGCACAATAGCAAAAACATTCACAAGGATTGTCTTAAACCCTGTTAAAAATCTGGTTGACGTGGAACTGATGCAGGGTTCCCGCTGGGTCTGGAATTTAGGAATTTTAAAATAAGAACTTATAAAGTCTTCAAAAAGTAATTTTCACAACTGGGTCTTAAAATGTGTGCTATATGTAAATCTGTACTGTATTTGTCCTTTTAAGTTTCATTTGTCAACCACTATCATTTTTACTAAACGTAGCATAAATAAAATGTGGCGGAATCAATAATTGCGAACGCAGCGCAGCCTCGGGTCAAAATAGTCCGAACACGTGACGTAGTCAGCTCCCGCGCTACAGCAGTGATACAAACGGTAAACACAACCTCCAGCAGAGAAGAAACTTAGCAGACCATAAAAAAGGTTGACTGACACCTAGGGATGGGTGCCAGAACCCTGGACCTCTTTAAGGAAAAACATTTGGTTGGTACTGATATCAAAATATGTATTAATGTCCTAATGTGCCACAGCGGGTCACATGACTGATCCCAAGTCACGTTATGAGTGGAGGAGACGCGTCACCTTTCAACAAAGGAATTTCTTTAGCCTAGTGGCATCAGAAAAGCTGATGAAAAAGCCACACAAAAGAGATGAGATTGTGTGAAAACGGGTTTTAACAGCATAGTCATCAGTCATGACATCAGGTAACAACACAACCGGACAAAAGACTATAAGATTAGAACTAGACAACATCAGGCACCAAAATCGGGTTACAACATTAGGGATTAAAATCAAGTCACAACATCAGGGATTAAAATCAGGTTACAACATCAGGGACCAACATCAGGGATTAAAATGAGGGTACAACATCAGGGACCAACATCAGGGTTTAAAATCAGTTTATAACATCAGGGATTAAAATCAGGTTACAACATCAGGGACCAACATCATAGATTAAAATCAGGTTACAACATCAACGGCTGACATCAGGGATTAAAATCAGGTTACAACATCGGGACCCAACATCAGGGTTTAAAATCAGTTTATACATCAGGGTTCAAAATCAGTTTATACATCAGGGATTAAAATCAGGTTACAACATCAGGGACCAACATCAGGTTACACAATCAGGGATTAAAATGAGATTACAGCATCAGGGACCAACATCGGGTTACAACATTAGGGACAAAAATCTGGGATTA